ACGAAGCAGCAGCAGCAACGCGGTGGTAGTCAGGGCCAAAAGAACAAAGGCAGAAGCCAGACTGATGCCGGCAGCAGCGGTAGCCAGGGTAGAAAGTTTCCCAAGAAGATTGGGCCAGCAACGATTGGAACTGTGAAAGTGGCGACTGGTAGTGCTCGGCTTGGCTCGCAGAGGCCATAGGCTTGGAAGTGGGTACGAGGTTTTAACTTCAGCTAAGAAAGATGAAGAGAGAGAAACAAAGGGGCGAAGGCGCAAAGCAGCGACAGACGGAGAGCAAGAACTAAGTGACGTAAAAGAGAGGCAAAGTGTTTGACGACGCCTGCAAAACATCCCCTGGGAAGCAAGGGAGGACGGCGTCTGGCCTGACGGCTTCTGATGATGGTACCACTGTTGTCATTGCTTTATCTACTGCAGTATACTAAGCAGCGGTAGTACTTGGGAAGTAGCTAGGGGGAATCTTCCGAGGGGTCTTCTCCAGCGACGGCGGCGTGCATTGCCAGTCATTAGAGGTTCGTTTTAACTACAGCAAGCCTCTCCCGGACGAATCGAAATTTGCTTTTACGTTCATGAGGCTGCCGTTGGCTGGTGCCGCGCCAGACTAACTCTCCTATCAGCCGCTGCTAATACGAAGGGCGCACGAAACGGTGCTCGCCGGTCGAAAAAACCCCATTCGCAACGATGTATTTTTTAGCAGTTTCACACTATTGCTGCTACTGCTGCGCTTGCCCTTGCACTTCACATTTGGTGATCTGATAAAGCCCAAGCGTGCATCTTACGTTATATCCTCTTGCGGCGTATTAGTTCCTTTTCACCCTGTCCATCTGCTCAGATGTGGATTGTCGGTTTTTACCTCCATTGCGGCTGCCGCTAATACGACGCTAATGATCAGCAGATGGATATGAACCTAGCAATCACCAGCCGTACGCACGTACGAACTCGTACTATATTTCTCATAGGCGTATAAACTGATGCCTTTACTCCGTTGCGCCAAAGCAGCCGGTAGGAACACACTCTAACACGATAAGACAAGGTCATTTGTTATTTGTCGACACTACACAATTTGAATGTTTTTTAGGTCCTCCTACGGAAGTAGTGGTGTACAATTACCTTACGGTTTACTTCGCTAACATTTAAACTGAGACTTTACATGGTTTTTTCTTCTAAAGATAGACTATCTCGAACGAGATAAGTTACATGCCGATGGTTTTTCATTTGCGAAGATAACAAACGCTAATATAAAGGGGGTTATCGCCTGCTATATAAACTATTACAGGAATACAAATGCATCTGCCAGGGGGTCAGAAAAGGTATTTGTAGAGGTCCTGGCTCAGGCCTGATTCGCATGGCACACCTTTGGCGTTTTCTTTCAAGCGTTGTTAACTTGCTGGGCAAATATAACAGTAATATAAAAAGCACTAATCTAATCAGCGGCCTTATGTCTGATAGGAAGCGCGATAACGACGACGCTGATTGTGGACGCAGGTTATGACAATCATGATCATATGAGGAAAGCTGAAAAGCAGCGATTTGTCATCAAAAATTTGTTGGTTCAGCCCTATTGACGTTCATGACGCGGTGCGGAGTACGCGACGCTATAAAACGGAATTTGGAAACTGAAAGATAACCCTTATGTTACTGCTAATCACTTCGAATGAATTTCTGGTCATTTCTTAGCTCCTCCGACGTAATGTTGAAGGTAGTAAACCCATGTATATCGTTTATTTGTAACAAAACAATGATAAAATTGTAAATAGATAAGTCAATAACAAGTCGACGCAACGGCAACCCCCAGCTACCTGGAGGTGATAATTATATAATATATCGATACGTAGATTCACAGTTATACACCGATAATGAAGACTGCATTCATAGAAGTATCATATCGTAAAAACAATAGATATATTAACATGTTTTTGAAGCCAGTGTTTGTTTTATCTTGAGAAATTAATTTTCGATAAAAACCTTTATTTTTTAAAGTATTGCGTCGTTCTGACCATTGAATATTATTTCGCCGTCCGCCAGGGCCTAGTCGACATTCCAGTGTCCCAAACTACCGGCCAGATATCTACGTGTACTATCATTTTCTTATAACCGTAGCAGGCTGATTTCGAATAAACATATCTCTCCACCTTATTCAAGAGCGCTTCATATAGTTTCGCCATATTTTGAGATACGATTCGGTTAGTGATACATATATATATATATGGTACCATTCAATGAAGAAGAGGAATTGAAGATTGTTCCTTGTTCGTGTGTTAGCCTCAAATGTAACTACAAGATAATACGGCCAGTTATTGTTAAGTTGTAAATATCTGATTTGTATCGCATTGAGGTTGAAAGGGAATAGGCTACCGGATTTAAACTCATATTATGTACCGCCGACGTCGAACTTCGATCTCGGACAGTAGGATCTCCAACGAGGTGACCTCACAATACGTTTCTCGAATAATTGGATTTCTCGTCAATGTTATACCAAATTCAACGTGACAGCATCATCCCCATGTAATTCGTTTGAAACTCGTCTAAGCTGCGTCACGCGGGAAAAAATACATAAATCACTGTGAAACCCAGTGTCGCTGTTTCTAAAAGGCCCTCATATCTGTATGGCTTTAAGCGTAACCAAAGCTTTCGCTTGTTCTGAAACTAGAATATTATAACTTTACTTGATTTTCTGTAATTCTATTGTATAAATTCACGATTTACTCATCGCCATCGCCGCCCTTCAGCTATTTCATCACTAAGCGTCAATTGCACCTAGTTAATTTAATTTTCTACCCGTGTAACGTTTCTTCATCGCTGCTTACCAGCGCTAGACGGGAAAACTTCACCATCAAACATAACGCGCCCTGTTTTTCGTTAGATTTTACAAAGCGATCTATGCAGCCGAGGCTATGACCGGCCAAGAGTTAACGTGACATAAACAAATATCTATTTTATTGTGTAACGCCTACAATATGCCCCTTTTCTCCCTGAACACGTATATTTCTACAAACGACGTAGGTAAGCACAATATGATTTTCGAATGTCACAGTCATTTACGGACATCGACGCAACGAAGTCATTGCAAGTTAAAAAGAAAACACTAAGTCCATCAAAACTTTCGATCTCAGAGACTGTGTATAGCCGCGCACCGATTGATCGTCATCACCACAACGTTAAATCCAGCTGAGCTCTCGCACCGTCAAGCAATAGTTGTGTCACCAATATTGCGAATAGAGCATAATTAAGCGATTGGCCTAGATTGGATCTGTCGTCAGCAATTACAATACACCGTTACTGCTATGCTTTGCTTTTATCTTCGATACTATTGTCGCCGGTCTTGCTGCCGGGGCAATTACATTGTCGCAGTCGTGGAAGGGCTGCGTTTTTGTTACGCCATGCAACACCGAAGACGGTTTGGCTTAATCTTCAACTGCCGCCAAGCAAGCGATTGCTGCCACTAGCCAAGAGCCAAGGAACACACACGTGTCTGTTCATCTACGTATACACACGTCTTTCCCGATAACGACAGTAGGGAACTCCATGTTATCCCAAAGGAACTGAGTAAAACGACGCGTATTTCGAACGGAGCCGAAGCTAAGCGGGCGAGCTCTGGCTGCTTGCGGGGTGCTGTCGTACTAGGAGATGAAAAGCGTGGTCGACTGTAGCAGCGGCTAGGAGGCGGCTGGACGAAACCAAGCTAAACGAAGAATTAAAACAAGCCGGATTCTTTCCACCAGCGGAGCGTAAGAAGGCCGCTTCAGACAAGTGGAAGCATACGGCATTAAGGAACCTGGCTAGGGTGGAGATAGAGGGGGCGCAAGAAGGCGGCAGAAGCAATGGGAGGTAGGTAGATAAATACGTAGATAGATAGATGAATGTACGGAGCATAAAAAAAGTAAAGTGTGACGGGCTGCTCGTAATGCGATCGGTAGCTATGGTGGTGTCGAGCCTACGTCGATACCGTGCGAACGTGTATAAAAACGCTAGCAGGCTCTTGTCCTTCGTAACGAAATACCGAGAAGGCAACAGATCTGGAGAAATAACAATTTGAATGTCCGGCTTGTTGTTCCTTGTTACGGGAGCTACTGAAGCGGTCTCCATGATGACGGTGGGTCTTTTGTTTGTTCTACCGCAGTAATGGGGGTCGATATGAAAACCGCGTACTGCTCTATATATTAGGTTATGCAGAATCTTCAATACAGGTATACACAGCAGCCAATAGTAGCATAACGATTCGCCGTCCGTCTGGTCGGCCGGGGTTAATGATGTACCTATAACATACGCATGCATCGATAGCTTCATCGAATACATCAACGGTAAATTGCGAGGCAGATTTCCTATTTGCCGCCAATTCCTTCTGTCGTGGTTATTGTTGTCGTTGTCGGAGAGTTTTACAATTTTGTAGGCCGTATTGTTGTTGGTAGGGGACATGTTAGCCTCGTTCTAAGTTGTCCCGTACGATGATATGGTAATGAAGACCTGACGAACATTTGAGTCTGGTCTTGTTGGTTGAGCGCCACCTACACAAAAGCTCATTCAGAAGAAATCCTTCATTTCGTTCCAGACAGCCGATTAATATATTCGAATATCAACTGAAATCCAGTATTACGAACTTTGCATCAATAATGTACAAACACTTAAGAGTGTCCTCTTGATGACACCCCCTGTGTTTTAGGGGAGAAGCTATTGCAGTTGACGCTATCTATCATGTTAAATAGAAGGCACAGTGTAAGTCATATCAATCGTGAAAATGGGAACTAACAACGATGGAAAGAGGCCCGGCCACGCTTGTCTTGGCAATATGTGTTTACAACCTTGGTCCACATATTATACCACATGACCTGTTGCTCGTAAATAGAGCTGTTCTAAGAGGACAAGTTAAGGGTAATTGGTTAATACAACGCGTTTACAATGCTTAAAACCCAACAAAAGGCTGTTTTTACTTCTCTAACTTTCCACTCGTAGAAACAACATACTACCAGGATCCAAATATTGAGAGGAAATATGCAAGTACTTACCATTGCCCTTTTGGCAGCTGCAGCGGCTGTGATTCTCGTTCGAAACAGGAGCGTCTCGCTTGGTTCGTGAGCTCCGGCACAGTCGTCCAGCAGAAGCCCGCTGCTTTGTCGGCTTCTTGCACTCCTGGAAAACAATGATCCAGCAGATGCTAAGTCACCATCGTTGTCCTGAGGCACACACGGTACGGAGCACAACACCCTGAACGTTGTGGAGGCTAGCCAAATGCCCGCGCGAACGCGGTAAAACTATGAATCTCAATAATATCGCTGTCCTTCTACTCCTTTAGTAATTGAACAGCATTCACAGCCTGCGCCCGTGTGTAACGCACACTTGGCTCCGTGTCATTTCAGTCGTAAGCAATGTACACTCGAAGAAGACCTTCCACTCGCTTTAAAAAACAATTGTCACACAGTTCTGATATAACGATACGTTGCTCTTGCTAGCGCGAACTAGACGGATCCGAAAAGTTCCTTAAAACGTTACAAAGATGCGCGTTCTCGCACCGAGGGTAGTCAACACATGACTAGAGCTGTATAAATGCCTTTTAGCCAAGGAGCGGAGTTGTCTTAGTCGCGAAATAACCTCGGCGTGGAATCGACCGATTAAACACAATATGGACAATGGAACACCTTACACATTGATCTTGCACACGGAACCAATCGTTAAGGCGAGAAATGGTTCCACTGGTGAAGACAACCAGTTGGCCTTTTCTCAGTATTTTTCTAGTGTTTAATGTGTGACAACGTCACGCTATAGAATGACGGCATCCACCTCTCTGATCCTGGCAGCAGAGATACAGAGACATTAAGTCAAATGTCACCGACGTCGCATCGCAGAGACACTCTCGCACGACTACCGTACCGCAATATCTTGAAAGGAAAAATCATCTGCTGCAGCTGAGACGATCGTACTGGCTGTACGATATAATTAAGATTATGTCCCTACAGAGGTGTTTACTGCATCTGAAAACGCTCTTTGTGCTTGTGCTGAGCTGCCTTGCATTACGTTGTGCGCTGCGTTGTCCTCCGAAATAAGGATAATCGACGGAGGGAAGGAAAAGAGCAGATTGCCGCCTCCTTCTACTTGGTCGGCGTCTGCTGAGAAGTCTGCGATGGGTATTCTGGGATCGCCAGGAGAAAGGGCCAACACTGGCTATCGAAGTAAACTTGTCATCCAATGGCCCTCACCCTCCGAGCCTCCACCCCACGGGGCAAGAGAAACTGCCGCCGCTTAGCTGCCCCCTTCGCATGCCTAGGTTGCGAGTACAACCAACACACCCCAACGCCGGTAAGCCTTCGAAATAGGAGGAGAGAAGTTCTGGCCACCACAAACACAACAACGCTAACCAGGTGAGCCAAGCCGGAACATTTCCTGTTATCCAGGCACACGAAGGCACGCACGCACGCACGCACGCACGCACATGTATAAACTAAAGGTTTTGTTGGAGACTAGAGATCATTATACACAGCACAAATCGCGCATATCACTTGACTGATGAGTAGCTTTATCATAGCGGATTCAGCAAATTAAAGAAAAACTGATCACTGATAAACTGGAGGCAAGGGAGAAGTGATCCCATGGGATGCATGCCGTTTTCGTTTCTGAACGTCTAAATAGAGGTGGCGTTACAGATACACTACGATATTGATGTTAATGCTTAAAATACATTCTGATCATCCTGTTCTGCGATATTCTAAGCGGAACATTGAAATACTCATTAAGAGGTCCTACGAGGCCTCTTAGAATTTAGAGCACCCTCAGAATTTAGAGGGAAAAGTTCTTGCTGCAAAGAGATTGCAGTTCTTCCAGAAAACCAGCACTTTTTCGGTCTTCCTAATTCACTCATTATCAAATCCCAATCGTCCCCTCGAATAGAGAAATTGGACATCTAGCTGACTTAGCCCAACTCGTTTTCGAACCACCCGATTACCGCCATTAGCGGACATGTGATGAGCTACGTGAGAGGTGAGACAATTGAACAAGTAATGATCTCTCCATGTAAATTTTGTCCCATTATTTTTTATTGTTGAACGCAAATACCTTGACCGCCTTGATACGATTCCATGAATGAAGTAGATATAATTTTATCAATTACACCGGCGTGTGTTTCTAAGCTGACATAGCAATGAGAAGCGCAATCAGAGATGATGCACTAAGCCATACAATTTATAGATCCTGATCGTTTATTTCCTTTTTTTCACAGATTTAACGACAGCCATCTTATGATCTTTATGAATAAGGATAATTTTGTATATCAGCAAACACGAATCTGGAGGTGTGCACGAAAACGCGCGGTTAGTCCTGAGTAAATTGTGCTTGTTTCTGTAGATCTTACTTATCGACACTGCTAGCAAACGGTTTTTCCGTTTGGCAATAGCACACAGTCTTCAATACCTTAGTGTATGCAAATATGTTTACCTTCTCGGATACGGACAATTAAGTTGGCAGTAAAAACATGGTGTCCCATCAATTTCGAATGTGACCGTACGTTGGTAAAAGAAAAACGGAAGTCATTCCAGATGGAGGAAATTTGCAAAATTGAAAATAAGGGCAGGTTCGTTAACCGAGATATAACCATCGCATACGGCACAAGTCGCATATTCCATATCAATGGATAGATATAATCAATGTACCAGCGAAATTTTGTCGGTTTCAAGATGCGTTCATTCGTCCTCTACTTGAAAAATCAATAGGTCACATCCGGATCGTTGGTCGTTTGTTTAATGCAAAAAAGGTACGCGCATGAACGTTTAGAATTTACATAGAGACAGGAATTGGGTTTTACTAAGTAAGCCAATACGAAACACCGTCGAATCTGCTTGATGGATCACAGGTGATTCAAAGATGTAAACGAGTTGTATCGTGGCCATTGTTAAGCCCCATTAGCCAAGAACGCAGAATAACAGTTATTATGCGGCGAAAAAAAAATAGAATTATTAAAAAAATAGAATCAAAATTATCTTTTAAAAAAAAACAGTTATTAATTTATAAGTTTTCGCTAAGTGGTCCTATTTGAACTTCAAATATGGGCACGTGAAGTGAAAAAAGAATAGATTTTCGAGTTCGACTTTTTGCCGCTGTCGAAAAGCGACGGAGGCGGTCGAAGAAATTCGTTAGATAAGCAAAGTGCGGCAAAATCCTTTATCCAGAAACGATTTAACTATTGAACTTAAAATCTCAGTGAAGCCCTTTAGATTGGAAACGCCTTGCACAAACATAGCCAGCCCCGTCGTACACGCCATACCCACCTAGATTTCAGTCACGACAGCTTTGGTACAATACAAATAGGACAAGTTGCTCGAAAATGTTACCCTTTGCAATTAGCCCAGACCCGTTCATGATGGCCGAATTACAAAGCCTATTTTTCATGACATCAAATACGATGATAACAGCTTGGATATAGAACCATATTACTGGGTTACAAATATCAAATTAGGACAGCAAAGTAACAAATAGAGATCGCCGTTACCCTAACAACAACTGAATAGTTTGGAAAATCTAAAAAAAAACAGTTAATACGTACATTTTAGGAATGATTTCTTTTGTTTCTCTAATATATAGATAATTCTCAGGCTAATAGATAATGAAATACTTTCATTTCGCCGTAACATTGTCTCAAAAGTACCCCGCTTGGAAAAAATTACCTTTATTATGAAATCTATTTCTGTAGTAGATTCTTGCTTATTGAGGTTCAATTTGGCTAAACAGCAAATACTCAATATTAACCTCTCTGAATATTAATCTCTCTGATCCTTTTTCCCTACTTACCTCTGAAGTGTCAGCAGTTAACTTTTGTGTGCGCGGCGCTCTCAAGTTTTGACCTCATGTTGCCATTGCTACAGACCTCAAGTGCTAACGTCCCGAGATCTACGCTCGTTTGGGTGTTTTATACTTTTGGGCTTGTTCACGAATAAGAATAAGTTTGACATTTGTGTTTACCATTATTTCCTTCTCTGTTATCTTTTTGAGGGGGCAGCAGGAGCCCTCAGTTGTGCCAGTTATTGCCGCATACAGGAGGAACATTGACGTGTTGCAACTATTACTTTGCCTTTGTTTGTTGGATGAGCGAAACGTGCTGTCCCTAAATACCGGTGGCTCGTGTTTGGCTTTATGTTGAGTTCTTGATGTTGTTGTGTCACTATAACGCCATGACCTTTGATGCCTGCGCAGTTGTTGTCGTTGCAACCTGTCAACCCGACGGGACATTTGCCGGTAACCTAGCACCGAACGCTAAACTTCTATTTTGCGGGTCTCTTTTAAGCTAACCCAGCAGTATCACACTAGTTAAATTCAAGCTTGTTAACCTGTTGCCTTTCCTTGTCGCGTACGTCCTTTTGTCCGTCAACCCGTCCTGCCGTCGTAAAGTCCATCTTCACCCTCAAATAGCTCTGTTGGTCGCTACTTAAGTCATAGAATTCAAGTATGAGAAAATAAGCGAACACCCAACGTTACTTCCATTAGCACTTAACGTATAGGTAGATTCAGTGAAGGGGAGAGTCCGTTTCCGATGAGAAACTTAGTGGCGTTTATTAAATACAGGCCCGGTTGTTATACGCATTTGAATGTATAACACGTTGCTGGTAGACGCGCGCGCATTTACCGCCCACAAATGGAGAAAGAAACTACAGGTCCGTTCACTTGTAATTCATCCATCCACCCACTGCGAGCTGCTCACCAGTAAGACGAGAGAGAGAGAGGGGGGAGAGAGGGGGGGGGGTCTACAAACTTAATCCTAAGGTAGGCGATATACACTGATAGGTGCGTTAATCAGTACACGGAACACAAAGACTAGCAGGACAGATTTAAGATCTAGTGTGGCAGTAGAACGCATCAGTAGATTAGAAAATTACTGCAATATTAGTTCAATCAACCTTGTCCTACGCCAGCACACAGTCATGCTTCATGCCACCGGGTGTCATTTGGGATTGGTAGGTAGTATTAACTAGCCTCGTGCGGTCCATGTACCTCCTCTGATTGCTACGGTCGAAAATACCTTTTGGCTGATACGTTAGGTCTATTAAAAATCACTATCGACATCTGTCGCCTTACTATTATTTTCCCTTTTGTTTCTTGGCAAGAACAAGGCGTCATCGAGAGCACGTCCGCAATTTCAATGCATAGATAAACGCAAGGGGCAGTAAAAATATCAGTGATGTCGGTGTACACTAGCGAAAGTAATAGACGATTAGTGGCACTCGGCCAGCGGTACACTCTTCGTTCTGTGCGTGCAAAGCAACAGCCTTTGGCCGCGTTACGAATACGGTGGCGCTGGCAGAACGGAAGACCAGCTAGATGAACATAGCTGGATATCTGCTCGTAATCGGCCAAATTAACTTTAAATTGAACTTGCGTAATATCCCTTAGCGCGCACTAGTCTCGCTAATTACAGATAGGCTCTGTTTTCCATTGCAGGTCCCCACTGCTACTGCTTTTTATGCGGCATCAGTCATCGTTGCACAGAAACCTTTCTCATCGCTTTTCCGCCTGTTGCCTGGCTCACTTTTGCCTGCCTACCTGACCAGCCTCCCACCCGCCCTCGTATCTCTCATTAGAAAGTGTAGTCACGCTTTTACACGCTGTTAGTGCTGGTGATAGCGATAACCAGAGCGGCACCGTTTCCAGTATTGCAACAGCCGCCACCGCCGCTGCTACCAGCCGCGTAATTGCTCTAGGTACGCTGTGCTGCCTAACTGTAGGCACTCGCGTTAGGTAGATCCCAGAGAGTGCCGAAGACGCCAGCGGGTCCTACACGCGCTCCGTTTGCGCTTTGTGCGCGAACTATCACTATAACCGACACCAATGCAACGGTGGCACCAGAAATAACGAGGAAAACTAGCAGCAATTTACCACCACTTTACTGTTGCAGCTGTGGCTGATGCCGGCCGGCCGTCCGCATCCGCACGACGGCTACTGCGTCCGCGTCACGATTTCGTGCAACTCGAGCGCGCGAGAGTGTGTCACGTTGTTCTTGCTATATCACCACTTACTGCTTCTGTCGCAGGCGTCCTGTAACAACGAGGATGACATGAGCAGGACTCTGCCTTCGACGGCGCGCAACGGCGTTGACTGGCTGGCTAAATAAGTGGCTTTGCCTTGTTGTCCTGTCGCCGCGTTTCGCTGATATGCTTCTCCTCTGTTCTGGTACCAGTTAATTCGGTCGCGAAGGGAACGCGCGTAGCGGCAGCGGCGACGGCGGCGGCGGCGGCGGCGGCGGCGGCTACCAAGGCAGTGCCGACGGCGCTTTTGATGGCTATTGGCGTACGCGTCACTACCTAGCTGGCGTTTGGCGAAGTTGGCTGTTTCTGCTTGACTTTTGTGGCCGTAGCAGTTCATTGTCTTGATGGGATGTGCTTGTGATGAAACGCAACAAATGCTGGAAGTAGCTAATGATGGCCGTCGCCTACCACCAGCGAATAACTCGCTTCGACGACATTGCTACCGTGCGGAAATAGCAGGAACAGATAGTTATAGATAGGTTGCTAGCTAGCTATCTAAACAGACAGACTGGCGGACAGTGACCGCTGCTACAAGAACGACCTTGGCGAGGGCATCCGTTTCGCCTCTGTGTTGCTGCCCATATTGTTGTACGTATCAACAGCAGCTACTACCGACTAATGCCATATATAGATAGATACTATGAAATGAACGACATCACTAGCAATGCACTACCACTATTACGACCATTATGCTATAACAAGAAGGAAAACGGCACGCGTACTTTAAATAATCACGCAGTAGATAATAATGGAATTACGTATACGATACGTGACGGATGGCCAGCTAGATAACATAGAATAGCTCGTATTAACTCAGCCTATTATAAAACAAAAAAACGTAGTAATACGTTCCCGTAATCGTTATTAATGGTTGCCTACGGCAGTAAAGCCATGGTCGTCGTAGCGAACCAAGAACTGTTCATCGCTGATACGAGATCCTTGTATAAACATATATACATAGACGGAGGATATAGGAGTCGAGAACCTGTGACCGATGTCACGTACCACACGACGGCTATGATTGAATGAAAAAACACAATATAAGGAAAATGAAACAGAGCGCTAATATATAACTTCTGGCAAGGTAATCGCAGCAGAGGGACGTTGGAAACATCCATAGCCATTTGTCATTTGCTGATTGTAGCATTTTTATTTGTATCGCAATAAACACGCCGTACGAGCCTAAACGTACGAGTATACAATGTTTATCGCTTATGAAAAACCTAAGTAAAGGCTGAACACCAAAATCGTCAAAAGAAGATAACGTCCCAAGTGCCAAGTAGTTATTTTTACGCTTCTGACGGTGCTAGCCAGTTACGCGTCAAGTCGCAAAGCTTTTCCACTGCGTTCTTATTCAGTCAACTTGGACGCAGGCGTGATGAGATTCAACACGGTAGTCATATATGTAGATGCACAAAGGTATACCGTCAACGTCATTTCTCTGCAGGAAACGAAAATCAAAATAGGTTTGTTTGAATCTGTGTGTACACTAGCTGAGTTTCAAAAACTAAGAAAATGCTTCTTTTTTTTGTTACTCTTATATTAAGTGAACGATCTGGACGCTCTGGCAGCTGTTGGAGTGCCTGAAGCGGACGAAAACAGGTCTTTCAGTCTTTGTGCATACATACGATACAACACAGGCTTCCAGTAACATCTTGATTTAAGAGGTTAAAATCGTTAAAGATTAAATAATTTTTCATGAACAATTTCGTCGGATTGACCATTCGGAAACCTTGTTACATCCGATCTCCATTGTCTGTTCTTTTATCCGGTCACTGCAGCAATTGCATTTCTGTACATCTCTATCGACGAAGGCGTTCGCCGGGAACTTCGTCAACTAAAATCAGTGATAAATAACTTACAAGTGGAATAAATTGCAAAAACTGCAAATACATTTCTTAAATAGGTAGCTATAGTAGTTAACGTAGCAATAGTAAGTTAACGTAAGATTTGAAAATGACACCTGTAACTATGGCGCTTAGCATTATTCATTTAGCATTTGCCCACTCTATCTTTTTACTTTTATGAAATTTTGCATGAATTTTTGCAGATTACTTTTGTTAGTCTTGGTATTAGGATGTGGTGTAGGTCCCCGTCTATGAGGCTGCATGAAGAGCGCCGAAGTCTAGAACCTCTTTACAAATCTTCGTTTAAAAAAGTGTGAATTAAATGCAACATTTTTTACGTAAAAAACATGATCAAACGATTGTGCAGAAAACATAATCTCATGCACGTAAAATTGCAATATATTTGCCAAATCAATTATTCAAGGCTAAAAGGCCCAAGTGGAAGGTAGAAATTAGGTAACGATTTACGAAAGGGACGGTACTTCATAGAGCTTCTAAGGGTTACCGCAGTATTTGGCCGCTCGAGAAAATAATGTAAACATTAGCTATCAATTACTATGATTACTTGTAAGCTTCTCAAATAAGTCGTATGTAACCTATCGATCCAATCGATGATTGGACACGAGCCGTTCATCTTAGAACCTAGGTTTTCAACGGTTCTTCAACTATTAGCAGCACAACATAATGGACCACTTCGCACGTTACAACGTTACAATTCCCTACTTCGATTTATCTTTGTGCCCGTCACACATTGTAAACGGACATATTGGCACACTAAAGGACCTGAACTATAGAGTGGACCCAGCTATGCTTTTTCCAAGACAACTAATTGCGTGTTGACCTGAGCGATTCGTACTGAAATGAAAGAAAAATGATGTCCGGCAGGCCGCAAAGGACCTTCTTCAGGTCTTTTACCATACACATTTTGTTTCGAATTTTGTCTACGAACTATTGCCTGCAGGCGTATCTTTTTTAGACAGTTTGCTTTTCTTTAAAATCTAAGAAGTCGATGAATAAAAAATGATAAACACATTTATTCATTGACTCGTTGGAACATTTTATTACCCCTTCAGGAAACAATTTTCGCTGCAGGTTTAAGCGTTCCAACGTTAACTTTTAAAATTTACTGCTCTTTATATTGGAATGATATTTAAATTAAAAACAATTTTTATTCAACGTTAGGAAAGTAGGTTTGCCGTAAAAAGCGGCAACCCGAAACGCACTACCGACTTCCTATAGTTCGTCGGCCTTATAAACAGTGTGAGATTCCTCCCCAGGCGGTTGGGCATGGCCTGCCGAAATCATATCCACCAAATCGACAATCCATCTCGCGTAGATATCACTCTCTGTTATACCGGTTCTCGGACAGCTAATGCTTATGGCTGGCAGGAGAAATGGCAGATTCCCACTGGCAAAATCGGCCGAGTCACGTTATCTTCTTCCACGTTGTTCTTCTCTCGTGAACATTTTGAGCGAAATCTTTCTGGCAGTTCTTGTGCTCGGAAGATCGACTTCACCAGGGGTATTTATTTCAGTCTGCTTCGGAATAATAAAAGGCAAAGCTTTTGATCGCGGCTTCCACGGTACCATTTATCCTTACACATCAGCCATTGGACCGGTCTAGGATGCCCTTCCTCTTTCGATCTTCGTGCTGTCAGGGAACTATGCCTGTAAGAGCAACGGAAGCTCTCCGTCAGATACGTCGGAGGAACTTTCTGTAAGCAGGTGGAAAATATTTTCGAATAAAAGTTTGTATAAGCTCGTAATTCATCGATAGACCTACTTCCATGTATCAGTTCATTAACCAAAATTCTTATTATAGGTAAACCTCGCCAAGCATGTACGCAACTTCTCCTAACACGATGCTGCATAATGTTAGCAGTTTTTGCACCTAAACAGAAATAATCGTTACCTATTTCTACATGTAAGAAATATCAGATGAGGCCACTCTATTCCAACTAGGTGCAAGATGACTGTAATAGTAGTACCGTATTTAAGAAAATGTTGCTTTAACGAAATTTTTTATAAATCAGCACTTCTTCGATAATGTTTGTACGTTCCTTAAAGCAAGACTTCCAAAAAGTTCAATAGCTTTCCTATAATCTTTATATGTGTCTATATGTAGAGATCAGTCTTCAACAATGCCACATTGAAAGGCAGTCTTATATTTGCAAGCAATGAAAACATATATACTATCTAAACTCACAATCAGTCCACATGGCAAAGACAATCAGAAATGTTAGGGTGTTCCACATTCGGTGGCAAGCAGCGATCTGTACCGAGAATCACAAGCACAACTGCGATGAGCCGACATCAAATGCACCCGTTAGATTAAAGCAAAAAAATTGTTTTTTTTTTTTTCTTTTTTCATTAAATATAACCTAGTCGTGCGCGAGGTGAAGCATCTGGATACGGGTCGAGCGACCTGGGTCGAAAAGACTATTTCTGTTCAGAAGCGTATGAACCTCTAGATACGTATGAGAAAGTGATAGCCCTTTACGCATGATTCTTGTACTCCCTTCTGAATGGGAGTTGCAATGGTCTACCTAGACACTTATGGTATTATACTCCCACCATAAACTCACTTAAATATTCAGTGCAGTGATCCAGCGAGGAAGATGGCAGATATTTCATGACAAACAGGTGAAAGATCTTCGGAAGGACGCTTGCATTCTGCTTGAATATACACCAACTGGTCCTATTACATATCACTGATTTACTGAAGCTGATCGGCCTGTCTATTTCGTCTTGTCGTGTGTTTGCTTTCAGCTGATTCGAATTGCTTGTAACGCTTTTAGGTGTCGAACAGGGAAATGATTCAATACTATTCAGGCTACTATTAGCGTATGTGAGGAAAGCGAGGATTAGACCTAATCTCGTAAGGAGCTTATGTTTGGCTAGAGAGACCCAATCCGAATCAGCAGTCCGTTCAGGCGTCAGCCAGTGCCGTTCAAATAAGATGTGGTCCTCTCAATTGGCAAGTGTAGGTCGCCGCAATTAATCAAAACACACAAACGAACCGCTTCATAATTCGATAAGAAGAGAGCATATTCATTAAAAAGATCTCCAGTTGATGATTAGCAGTAGGTTTTGAGTGCTAGGTCGATAGTTGAATAGGTGTGTGGGTAAGGTAAGTGAAATCGGCTGTCGTTGGCTAGCGCGACTGGTGACCAGTTTATTTCTGGTAAGTTGACATCGTCAACAAGATAATGACTATAACTACAGATGAATCAGTGGAGCATTTCGGTTAATGACAGTACAGAATCGCCGGCAGCCAATGTCGAGAGCGAGATGGGTCGGCAGCACTAGTTACATCAATAAAACGAACCTTCATTATTGTTCCCACACCAAATATATATAATAGTGATATATTCGCTGAAAAAGTTATACCTAATGTCGACTGGTACGATGCTATTGTCGCTAAGAATACGAATACTTAATAATTAAAGCACAGAAAAAGCATTACTGATTTATTGGCTCAGCTGGGTTTCGCCGGTAAACACTACGTGGAAATACTACGTTGATTGGGCAGAAAGAACGGATAGGGCTGGTACAGACTCAGAGCTGGTCTGTCTCTCTACGTCAAAATCAAAAGCTAAGAGATAACAGCTGCTTCTACAGTTTCTGCTTAACCTCACTTAAGTACAGGCTTATGTTTACTTTTAGGACCAAATTGATCGGCGCACACAGTCAACAGTTTCTGTCTCTTATGCGTAAACGGCAAGTTTCATGGTTCTCTCCTTCCGTCCGAAGTACCCATTTCGTAATGGGCATGCAAACAGAAAGCATGACTTCAAGCTTAAGACGACTTAAGCTGATTGCCGTCTTAGCCGTAGGAGTTACAATGTTTTACTTCTGTGATAGTCTGAGCATGTCGTTGGAAGCGCTAAGCTTGCAAGCCACGAAACAAACTGGGTTGTGAAAAAAACATGTACGTCGACCAGCCTGAATATAATAGTATCAATGCTCCTGGCGCTTAGTTTTCTCTCATTCTGTATATTTTTTGGTGTGTCTTTTAAGGATAAACAACAGTTGTTGTAACGCTACTGATCGCTATCGCTGTTGGGTTAGGTTAAATAACAATTTAATTGCTAACGTACGGTGTATTAAACTTTCGAATTTTCTAATTAGCTGATAAGTTCGTTCATGTTATTTTCCGTAGATGGAATAGTACGAAATCCAGAAGATTATCCAGAAGAGCAAACTAGGACACGAAGGCGAGGTCGTCTTATGGTAAAATGTTGAAGTATAGGTTCCGCCTTGTTTATAAGCTATAACGTTTAAAAACCGGGTTACATTTAAGATAAACTAGGCCGAAAGTCGTACTGCCTCATTAGTTCCGCTATTCTTCTTGAATATCTCGAACATTTGGCATTCAATTAAGACCTTTTTAGATTTTAGTGTCACACCAAACCCGTGCTTGAAGCCAAAAGTGTTTATGGTAACAGTTTCATTATGGTGACATTTGTTTATAGAAACATCTCTAAACCTTAAAGAAAGGACGCTTTGTTTCTATGAGTTTGGCTTCGAACTTAGCCATCACGCATGTGGCTCTATCGAATGGGAATTTGATTTACTAGAAACAGGCAATTTATTTATGAAAGCGGATAAACAGCTGCACGAATCGATCCTGCCTTCTCTCTGACAGGTGCGATGACGGATGATGCATGTAGTAGAAGTAGAATAGGACAAACCAGAATGTTGCGGTTCGGTATGCTGTGTATAGAAAAATAGGGGACATTACTACCTATCCTTTATGAACCAGACAAGCCTGCCAATGTACGAACGTTGCACATGCTACCGCGCTGGCCACTGTTTAGCCGACATCTCGATTCGACCTGTGAACTTTTACCCTAGCACTGCATTCTCTCATATGCGCGATCTGATTCCATACGACAATATTATTACTATGTCCTATTTAGCTTTTTTATGCACCTGACAGGCGTGTGAATGAACAACGATGATGATTTCAGGATGCCATAGGGCTCAGTTATATGGGGCTGCTGAGAGCCGACGCTTTGATGTATTATGCCTTTCGACTCCTGTGGACATTGTTTGGCGCATAATCGCTATCGACGTCTAAATGTCTTCCACGTAGGTAACAGCAGGTCCATGCACAACCCTTTTCAGATTGTTGATGAAGCATTGAAACGCAGCTGGCCGAATGGGGAGTTCCTGCGGAACCTTCACTTTCATTTGCGCCTGTTGTAATCTGAAGTGGTAAATGTCGCCAACTTAGAAACCACTGTTAGGTACGACAACAGCTGCCGTATGATGTTTAGGCAAAAGGATTTAGGACGTGATGTAGCGAAGCGCACACAATCAAACGGCACGCCTCGAGTCGATAGATGACGCTGCGAAACGCAGGTCCTTTCAGTGTTCGGGTCCAGGTTGACTCGTCACTTAGACCGTGTCCCATCGATTTCGGGAGCCAGATCAGATAGTCGGCGAGAGACTTATAATATCTGAGTCAAGATCAACTGGCGATGTTGAATCGTATACCTGCTCCGCGATCTTATCAACAAGAAGCAGCACGCGGTATTTATGGATAGCTGTAAGTTGTGTGCAATGCTGATGATGGCACAAATAGGTGCAGTAGCGACGACGCTCTCAGTGACGTATCTCACGTCTGTTCGTATTCCGTCAACTTCAACTATAGGACGTCGTCGACACTCAAAAGATCAAGCGTTTAACTTTGTTTTTCATAAGTAGATTCGCTTTTATTTGAAATATGCTACAAAATTTATTCTTAACACGTTTTTTTCTCGCATACTCTTTATACTCACCATGTGTGTCCACCCTCGTTTTATGACATCATCATTATATATCATTCTACCGTGGTCTTGTTCATCAACTGCTGTCTTTATCATCCTAATAATTCGTTCCTCTTAGTTACTGTCGTTATTATAGTAATTATTAATATTAGTTTACCGTCGTTATATAGCGGGTATATTCATATTTATGTATTTCTCTCTCTCTCTCTATATATATATATATATATATATATCATGATGACCGTCCCCTAGTCATCACTTTATAATTAGTACTTCTGTCCATTGTATGTCGCTGTTCTTCATTTTGTTAGATTTCATCGGGATCATCTCGCCTGCATGAAATTACGATGACTCAACCGCTGCTAACTTCAACTAACTTCATCATAATTATAATTATACGCTTTCTCACAGCCTATGCTATACACACGTCGTTTCACACTATTCTCTCGTGAACGATACCAATTTACCTACTAGTGTTGATTCAACGCAGAAAGGAAGGAAGGAAAAAAAAAAAAAAAAAAAAAAAAGAAAAAAATGTATTTCACACATTTGTTTCACCGAGTTTCTCGCTCACTTTCGATTTCTAGTTCACGTTTAGATCGGTCCCATCATATGATCATTTCTCTAATGACCTGCGCTTATATATAGAGATGAGGCAATATTATTACTCTTCTAATATTCTAAAAACTATGATATTATAATGGTCATCATCATTACTACCACTACAAACTACGTTTAGTACTCCCGCAAGTGTAGTATCATCACCCATATTGGATCACTTGGCGCGGCTGTGCACCCTATTTTATTACTATTTTACCCTTCCTATTCGACTACAACTACTGCTACCGTTTTCATGACGACGTTCATTGTTTATTACGATGAACCAGTTCGCGTGAGGACAAACTCTGATCGAATATTGTCTCCAATCTCGATGTCGTTGATCCTTGTAGAAAGCCAATCGCACTACACTGACATATAATTAATATTAGCGAAAAGTACCACAGACCTCTCGGCCGTACGACGGGTTCGCTGTACGATACTAGTATACATGTGTTGATAAGAATAATTTGCTATGATTAACGTGTCGTTTTCCCGTCCCCGTTTACAGCTACTAACAACACACTAAATAGGACCTGTTTGTTACGCATGCCCTGTTCTTGCCTACCGCTACCGCTACCGCTCCTATTGCAAGCGCTACCACTACATTCACATACGCACACACACACCCACACACCCACACACACACACACACACACACACACGCACACGCCCACGCCCGCCCGCACGCACACACACACACACACACACACACACACACACACACACACACACGCACGCAGACGCACGCACGCGCACACACACAGACACACGCAAGTTGCTTCCTATGTCTTCGTATTGAGTAACATTCCGCTAGTTCGCTTAGTTTTTTCTTATCTACCAGCTAATAGGGTCCTGATATCAGTTCAGCCGATCTACTACATAGTCCTTCGATAGCGCCATGGGCGAAGGTTCTCTTGTCAACGGCTCATCGTCATCTACTGCAGTAACAATAGTCGCCGTCCAATGGGCAGGGAAGAGGTACGATGAAGCGTCAAATAATGCTCCGCTGCGCATTAAGTTACTGGCCAATTTAAGCGTGTATAAATTTGCTTGTGTTTCACTCGATTCACGAGTAGATAAAATGATAACTTGAAATCATGTTCACCTTCCCTCGAAACTACCGCTCAGATTCTAGGCCGACATTTGTCCTAGGAAACTTCGTACCACCAACGGTCGCTGACGAGTGGATAACCCGAGCACTAAAAACGACAGATAAATACTACACGGTGACAAAACAGGAGATCTATGGAACACAGCGTGTGTTCGACCGCGAACCGCAGTGTGGACTTCGTTCAGGCAATAGGATGTATGCAGCAGTGGACCACTTTGAAAGGGAGTAGTAAGAAACAGTGAAACTCAGTGACCAGCCCCATTTATTCACTACTATCTGAATACGACGTACAGGATACGATACACTACGACTGATAAGCGTATTCTGTTAGAATGCCCGCACAGGTTGCTTTGTATTGACGAGAGTCTCTTGCTTGATGCGTTTGTGCACGTAGAGGAGCGTAAGTTCGTTCTGTCCAAACGGAATGCATAGCATGAAGAACATTCGTACGTATGTCGATTATTTAATCAGCATTACCAAGCTGGATTTTGGCTAAAACAAGCTATTACCCCTACCGGACCCCGGGGGACGTACTCTACCAGTACCATTCTTCATTTGCGGAATTGTGTTTCAACGGCAATACGACGTGCATAGCAGATTCAGATCACTTCAGCATTAACTCTTCTCCAAAGCTCGTTCATAGTTACAGCCTTTATATATTTCACGGTATAGTATATCAGTATAATATGTCACTACCATCCAACATAATTAGCAGTATTACTATCGAGATATTATAATCATGTCAATAATGGTCTTTCTTTTTTTAACGTTTCTTTCTTCAGCTTAACGCTCTTCATCAGCACTGTTATCGTTACTTATATGTATATGTATGTATATATATATGTGTATATATACGTATATATATATATATGTATATATATAATACATTTTAAGTACACAATATTTATATATACCAGCTGATCAAACTGGGGCATTTTGTTCACCGCAATACACGTTTTTAGCATCGGTAATAGTAAGCGTTATATAAAGATGTATAATTAGCATCGTCGTCTATGGCAGCAATCGATTTGGTGGCTTCTTGATAACGCATTTTATAGTTTATATCAGTTAACGTTACGTGATAAAGAACAGCGGATCGAGGACCACCAATCAGCGATGGCACACACATTGAAACTGCTAATATTCCAATGTAGCTAGCTGTTCAACATTCCGTAGAGTTAGCGTTGCAGGCATCCAGTTCGCACAGCCTAAGGACCGTCTAGGGGTCAGCAGGGACAAGGCGACACGGCGGTACTTAATGACAAGAACAATAATTGGGCCAGTCGAGCAAGGCGAGAGGACCAGAGATGCTAGTGTCGTTCTGTGTTCAAAAACAGAACTCGAAATGGATAAGACCAACTCGGGTATCGATCTCAGTTCAGTCCAAAACAGCTCTACTGCTGAGATCGTCTCAAGCTTACAATATAAAAACGTCGTTTGTCTTAAACTGAGTCAACGCTCAAGAGCAAAATGCCGAAGATGCGTACGCAGATCTTCAATGTTCTACACAACAAAAAAACTTTAATAATAAAAAGGATCCTCGTAAAAATAAAAACTACTATTCAATCGATCGATAGCGCTAATCTGTTCCTTTCTGAAGTTACTCGTCGACTGCGGTTCACTAGCAAGGAGCCGAGGAATTTGTAACCCACTAACTTCGCACACGGTCAGGTCTGGCGTATCGTTGCTTCCGTGCATGGTAATCCCTCGCCGGCAAGCCGTTCCAGCTAGCATGCTTCTTGACAGCAGGCAAGACCATCACGTTTTCTGTGCGTTCTGCCTGTCGTTTACCAATGCTCTCTGTTCATGCGACTGCTGCCCTTATCACCGTTGGCGCGATGCCCAAAAAAGTGTAGACGAACGAGAACACTGTTTACGCACTTCTTTGACCTGCTTGAGTAGCTAGATCTGAGATGAAAGGTCTAGTTGTAATATGCAAACCACAAATAAAAAATAAAACAAAATAAATATTTAGACGACTAAACACTAACAGCACTCAGCATACAAAATTGACAACAGTATTTAAATAAGTCCATATATATATGTGTGTGGTGTGGTGGTGGGGGGGTACATCGAGGTATCATCCCGCCTGTAGCTATGTGTTGCTACCTAATCGGCGTTGTTCGTTACATGACAATCTGCTGGGGTGAAGCTCGATCGTACGTTTCGTCAATGACATGTTGTTCGAATGCTAGGAGTGATTCTGGTTGTGTCAGCTAATGGAACCTCAGGCAATTTATACAAGCACACACACGCGACGATACTAACGCCCTCAGTCGATCACGCTCCTCCTTTCCCACTGCAAAGCGGCCCGTCCCCGGAGCTAAGGCGAGTACATGTTGAATGTATATTAAATCTGTCGTGCTTTATCTATCCCCCGTTTGCCACAGGAATGGGTCAAGTCACGTCGCGTCTTAAGGTTTATCAGCGCACCGTAATGGGCCAGCTGACAGTCCCGATTGAATAAAACTGTATATGTAGCTTTAGGTGCAACAAATGCAGACATTAAAGGTATGCGAATGGGGTTTTGTTAAGCGCAGCCATGGTCCATTTTTGTGGAGACCCGAAAATACGAGATACCGTGATAGGAGGATAACATCATACAAAAAGACAGTGTGATGAGTTAATTATATACAAGGCATAGACTAACTGAACCGAAATCAACGCAGGTAACGGCCAATCCATTATGTTTACCTATGTATTTATAAGACTGGTGTCGCCTAATGCTGGCCCGGTTACGGCCGACGTTGCTGAGCCTGCTGTTGGGCAGCTACCGCTTGCGCCTGTTGACGCAACAACTCTTCGTGTTGGGCCTGAGCCTGCGCAAGCATGTGCGGATTCTGTGATATCGCCTGTAGCCGATCCATAAACAATTGCCTCTGTAGTTGTTCTTGTTGCTGTTGTGCGGCGAGCTGCCCAGAAGATCAAAAACAATAATTACATTGTTATTGTTGTAGTGAACAAAATCCCATCGGCAAACGTGCTCCAGGCCTCTTCCTAGTTTGCCTGCTTTCTTTCCATAAGACATGAGCTGGTTGCTACTGTGATGGGAAGTTTCGAAAATGGTGAAGATCAACGAAGCTCCAAATCTATTTGAGTATTAGAACCATCAAGCATTTTCATTAAGATATGCAGAAAACAACAACTGACCGTCAGCTGTGTAGTTGCACTTCGTTCCGCGTGTATTTCGGTCATCTTACATGCACGTAAACGCGCATGATAACAGTGCCCACTCATTGCTCGAGCTCATTCATGGTTCACTCACCTGTGCTAGTTGCTCGCCGTAGGCGTTGTGTTGTCGGAGCAAAGCGTGCGCCGCAGCGGCTGAGTGTTGCGCGTGAGGACCAGCGGTTCCCGGGCCCCCAGGGGGCATTTGTTGTGCTTGACCCGCGGCGACCGCTCCCCCTGCGCTATCGTGCAGGTGCAGGTGGGTGTGAGCGTGTGCGTGCGTATGGAGTTCAGCGTTGGCTGCACCCACACTCACGCTGGCTTGAAGTCGCATCGCCGCCAGTGGATCGACGCCAGACGCCGCCAAATCTAAAGCCGAACCTCCGTGCGCAGCCGGACGAGCGCTCCCACTGGGTCCGTCGCCTGGCGTACCACCCCCAGATGACGCGCCTGGCAGACCCGACGACTGTGGAACACCTGCCCCCGCCGGTGCTGCTGCTGCTGCTGCTGCTGCTGCTGCTGATGGTGGTGGGGGTGGAAACAGCCCAAACGGAGGTGGAGCACCTGCAGCGCCGAATCGCCGTTCCGCCAACTGACTGACAGCCCATGGATCGAAGAGTGGTGAATTTTGGGCGGCCGCCGCGGCCTGTGCCTGAGCAGCGGCAACCGCCTGCGCCTGCGCTTGGGCATGTGCTTGCGCCACAGCGGCGGCGGCGGCGGCGGCCCGCTCGTTCGCCTCACGTTCGGCGCGTTCTCGGTGCTCCCGCTGCAAACGAACAGAGATTAACAACGATGATGATATATCAGGCAGATATACAGGCAGACAAATAAACATGGACTGAGAAATAGCATAAACAAAACGACGGCCTTACGGCAGGTGAACGTCAGATCTCAGTCAGATAGACCAGACGGAGAAGATGTACCATCAAAATTAAAGTAATCTATCGCAACCTTGAACACATGAAAATATAGAGCTTTTCTGGCGCTAAATTCCTTTGAAGCAATTGACTAAAATTCCTAATATGTTCGAATAATACGAATGATAGATATCTTGCCCGAAGAAGCTGATGTGTTCCTATGTTTTTTTTTAGCTACAAATCTGTAACAGCCTTAGAGGCACCTGCAATATTTAACATTACACAATACTGCGATGATTCATCTTTTCATCTCAACTAACCTCCCGTTGCTCGCGCTGTTCCCTCTCGCGTTGTTGTTGTTGTTGCTGCTGTTGTTGTTGTTGCTGCTGCTGCTGCTGTTGCTGTTGTTGTTGGTGTTGTTGTTCCTTTAAAGCTCGCTGCTGATTGGCTAACTGCTGCTAAGTTATCGTTTGTACAACAGTCATAGAGGACATAAAATGCGATGGGCTTAGCATGAAATTTTACTTCATCTTATGGAGCATTTAGTGGTTAAGATTAATGGACTATTATAGAATAATCATTTTACAACTTAATGCACGCTTACCCGCGTAGTCGCCTTTGAAAGATTTCGTATCGAGATAGATATCAAAGAAGCATTTTGTTCATTACTTTTGTTACCTCTTTGATTTCCAGGTCACGCGCTGCCTGAGCTGCGTACATCGACATGAGTTGATAATGCAGCATTTGAGGATCTGCCAACGCAGCGCCAGGTCCTAGTCCGGGTACACCGGGCAAGCCTGAACCTGGAAGGCCAGGTGGCATTCCCGGTATGCACGGAGGTCGTAAGCCTGGATGTTGTGCACCGGCCGAAGCCCCGGGAGGTCCAAACATCATACCTGGCAGGCCAGCATGTGGACGAGCATACTCTGCAGCCGAAGCAACAAACAATATTAAAACATTACTGAAGAAGACCCAAATATGTTAAAAGCGTGAGTCACACATGGCATATAATTATTGTTCAACCCATTTGGAATTTAAGAAGTCTACATTTAGAGAATGAGCTCCAGAATACAATATCCGCATACTTTCCGTAAAAGCCATCGGTGGAGTTATGGTCACGACATCAGTCATCTTGTATTCACTACGTGCTTCCTTACCTGAGAGTTGGCGCAAAGCTGGTGTATCGGGCGCTCCGTACAAATTACTTGATGCTCCGGAAGGACCAAGTGGGCCGCTCTGTCCTGTACGGCCCTGGCGTCCAGCAGCGGGGAAAGCGCCAGGGGATGGCCCTCCACGACTCGCCTGGGACAAACTGGCCGCTGCTGCTGCGGCTTGTTCCGCCTGTCGTTGCTGAGCTCTGTTAGCGGCCTCTTCACGTTCGTGCGCCTTTCTAGCACGTTCTTCTCTGCGACGCGCTAATCTTGATTCCGGCACAGGCTTGAACGTGAGATCGGTTCGAGCGCATGAATTATATTCGCCTCGATTCCAGTGGCGAAGGAAAATAGCAGATTGACTGCGATGGCACTCGGAATCCTCAAGTTTTGGCTCAGGGCTTGGTCCCCCACGTCCTCGCTCCTCATTACCACTGCCTTCTGTCTCCTCGGAAATGTGGTCAACTCCTCGCATAGCTGGACCAGCGACCCCAGCAAGACTTCCCAGTGCACCTGCTATTGCAGCGGGGCCGCCGCCGCCGCCGCCGACAGCCCCTAGTCCACCAAAGAGCGCTGACGGGTGACCACCAGGTCCGGGACCTGGAAAAGCCCCAAAGAATGGGTGGAATCCAGGCGTGGGAGCACCAAGGTGCCGTTGATGTTGTTGACCGGGGGGCGTGGGCGGTGTTAGAAACGGTGAAAAGCCCCATGGCGGCGCAAAACCTGGCGGCACCTTCGGCGAGCTTCGCGGAGAGACGCCCGGTGTCGTTTCTCGTTTTGGCCGTGGAGATTCACACTGCGCCGATGGCGACGGTGCCATTCGCGGCGGCGCCGTGAGCGCTGCAATGGACAATGGAGAGATCTTCGCAGGACCGGCAAGAGGAGCTGCAACAGGCGGTGTGCCACGTGGCGTATCAGGTGTCCTGTAATAATAGCATACCAATGGATTCTGCATTACTAAATGGACTATTAAATTATAATGCTAGTATTCGAGATATTGTGTTCCTCTATACCATTGGTACAGCCCATCAGAGATACGAATGAGATCTATCAACGACGAGTTACGTTCCCGACTGAAGTAAAGTAATCATAAACGTGCGAGGCTATTACTAGAAAGAAATTTACCTTCGAGCTTGCGATTCTTGTTTTACAAAAACATTCGGAGCTTGCTCGTCCAATGGCCGCGGCGACACCCGGGGGGTGGGAAGTGTCTTGCTAGGTGAAGCTCGCGGAGGTGCACCGAAAGCGCTAGACGGAGCCGGAACGGCGTCTAACGGTTCTCGTTTCGGCTCAAGCGGCAATTCGCCGGAGACGAGAGGAATAGAATGTCCAAGAGGTGGCGGCACAAATCCAACTGGGGGAAGGGATCCGAGAGGACCAAGTGGTTCCGTTTTGAGACCAAGCGGTCCTAAAGGTCCGCCTGACTCAAGGGGCGGCGGCAGAGCTGCTTCTTCTTTTTTCACACCCCCGGCCACCCCAGGGACAGTGCCCGTCTCCACATCCGAGCCAATCTGAAAGTATCATTAACAAGTAAACAGGGCATGTCAGACGAACCATACGATCTGTTACAGCATCCGCTTTGTCTTCTTAGAAAGTGCATATATCACATACCATTCCTCAGCAATCAAAGCAGGAACCAAAGGAGGCTTGATAGGAACATCCTACGAAATACCTACCTTGAGATTCTCATTGATCTTTATTTGGCCATCAAGTTTGCCGACAAGAGGTGCAGGTACAGAGGTAGCCGTGGCTTGCGGACTACCTGTTGTCGTCTCAGCTTTAGCAGCTACAAGTTGTGGAGCCATCTTATCGTCCTTCCCGTCTGCGCGATCAGCGCCTTCGGCCATTCCATTCGGGCCTCCGGCAATAGGCGTAGCAGAGATATTGCTCTCCGGGACAGCAAACTCCAAGCCAGGTTCGCGTTTCAATGCGACTGGAACATTGTTTGCTGTTTCCGTCGAGCAGGTTGCCTGATCTGCTACGGATCGACGATCCTCTCCGCCTGTGGACGGAGACATCGTCTGGACATCATCTGGTTGCGACCCGCCACTGGGAGCTCCCGTTTCTCGAATGTCCTGCATTTCAACCTGAAGAAGTGGATAGAACCGGTTAAATCTGTTAGCAATGCTCTGACTGAAGTCAAGTGAATGTAACCAATAATATGTAGCAGAAGATGAACCGAATTGAACTTGTTTATTTTTGCCCATACATCGTTATTTAGCTTAATCAGAAAAAGACGGCAAAAGACAGTTAAGCATAGACAAAATTGACATTGAAGTCAATGAACTGGAACATTGACTATGGCTAAATCGTAAACTGTGCTCAAAGGCTTATTTTTTTCTCCCAGTATTTGCTCGCATTTTGCAAACTACCCTGCGTATCTCTTGATGACTGCGGAAAACTTACGTCGTTATTGACTGGGGGCCCAGCAGCATCTGCAATCGTTTCTTTTTCAGCCTTAGTGCTACTGTGCTGTCTATCTGACAGTTGGGTCTCGCCATCTCCAACGCTGCCATCGGCCTCCGCCGACGGCGTACCACCGTCCTAAAATACAGCGCAATATCACATCTCAATTATCAGGCCCTATCGGCGAAGCGACAGCTATTTTATCGTAAACAATGGGTTATGGAAGTTGTTTTCCATTGTCAGCGTAAGTAAATTCTAAAGCTGGTATTATGTCAGGTATTAATATAGATCTTATTACTTAAATTGTAACTATCATGCACAAATATTTTTTTTCTATCAATTGTTCACAATGATCGTCAGACGTGCTAAAGGGGAAGTACAAGAGTAACGATACTTTTTAGGTTAACTTACTTGATCTTGACTTTTGTCCTGCGCGGTCGCGTGTTCTTTAGGGCCTCCATTGTTATTCGTGGTTGATGGTGTCGTTGTTGTCATTGTGCTAGTGTTGTTCGATGATGGCGTGCTGTTGGTATTATTGGTACTATTGTTGCTGCCCATAGAGCCCATGCTACCTTCGCGCTGTCCATTTCGTTGGGGGTTCGCGGGAGGAAGCGTCGGTGGACGTCGAGCCCGAACCGTCCATCTGCAGATACTAACATTTGTGTCAGTACACATAGCCAAAAACAAAAACATTTTACAGATTTCTACACCTGCTAGAGCTTGACGCTGGTAATCGAATTACATACATTCTCTAAAGAAAGGCTTAGTTCTACAACAAAGAGCTAGTCGGACCTTTCTAATTTTAGGCAAAAATTAATTCAATTTAATCTAATACGACTACTCGGGTTCCCTAGATTCACAATATAAGTTTGACTATATATCTCCGAAACAGGATCGCCCACTAACGTTTTACTGGACAAACGATTACAGTATAGTGATTTGTTCAGTAAATGCAAACGTACCTTCCGGCATCACTCAGAGTGACCGATACGGGTCTCGATATGAAGACAGCGCTTTCACTACTTCGCTTCACTGAGCAGTCATAACAAAAGAGTGATAGAGGCCCACCTTGACCAGCTTGAAGTGGCAATCCCACCCCGGATCCAGATGGCGGCAGAAGTGTGTGCCAGTCTACGAACCAATCGCGTGGCGTCGCAATTAAACATACAGAACACTGAAATTTCCATAGCAGTTACTGTGCTTAATGTAATATTTCACCGACGATTCACCGACCGATATTCACGACAGGTATGCACTTATTAAAATATCATGCAGAAAAAAAAACAGGGGTTATATTGGTCTCGATACTAAAAATAAATCAAGAAAGAAATAAATGCGTCTTTTGTTAACCCAATACATAACCTTGTCTGACTCTAACAGATTAACCGTCTTCGAGAATAACATGTATATATTGAAGTATGTATACACAAAACTATTTTATTTTGTTATTATTATGTTACGATACGTTTTTGTGCGTGAACTACATTATACTTCCAAATAGGAAATACTTAGGTGTCAGCTTCTTAGGTATCTCTGTGGACAGTTGGGTCTACTACGTACTGATCTAAATAGTATAGGGTGCTATCAACGAGAGCTTTTAGACCAGCGCATTTGCGATTTAGCGAACACCAAGAGGAAATGCACTCGACTTTTTTCTAAGTCTTTACCACACCGGACTTTAATGCGTAATGTTTGGTTGTTGAAATCTCATGTGAAGGCTGCGTATAGAATCGGATCTAACCATGGGCTCTATGGAACACCAGATGGCTGATGGCTGGTCAGACATAACGTTTTTCATATAAAGTTCCATCTATGAGGCACAATTAGCGTCAGCTAATTCTGGGACCGATTCTTCCTTTTCGAGAAGATAAAGGTGGTCAACGTTGTCTGTTAATAATAATAACAACTATAATAAGTTGTTCTGAGCTAGCATTCGCGGTCATTAGTCTTACACAGCAGACTGTATCGATGACTACCTGTGGTGCAGTAGACAACACGGCCTCGAAGTGGGTTGATGATTGGGAAGTAGCGCCTGCTGAATCAGGACCACTTTCGCCGTTGGCCCCTTCATCGCCAATTCCCCCAATTGCACCTCGGCCTTCTCCTCCAGCTCCACTTTGGCTGCCTCGACCACTTTTACTGCCGCCCTTTTCACCGGATGCCTAAAACGTTCGGAAACATACATCCCAATTAGCATTACGCAAACCATCCGACACAATAGTAACAGCACAAGTATAGAAATGCACAAAAACGTACAATCCGCAGTTCGAAGTTCATGCCATATTCGAGGATCGATACGGTCTTTTATCTGCCAACCTATATGTCTGGGTTTGCTCTGCAATCACTCGGCCACCGGATCGAAAACTTGCTCGTTTCTGAGGTTACTACTTGTATTGCGATCGTATTTATACACAAGATAAAAACGGATTTGTCGTAGTAGCCCAAATAATGTAATCCGTATATACACATGGTAGTTAGCTCATATACACGGGAGCGTGTACCTTGGCTGGTCTTCGGGCAGTCGGCCGCCGATGCCTTCGATGGGGTCGACATCCTAGGGCTGCTGGAGTTTTCTTCCAAAGGTAGTAATATTCCACCAGCTCTGCCGTCTCTTTGTGCGGAAGCAGCTCTGAATATAAGGCAAAGAACGTAGGGGAAGATGGCTATATTTAAGTAGTGTTATGCTTAATTACGCTGACTTGAGCACAACAGAGTTGGCATTCCCGCGTATTCTGCACCACAACGCTATCACTTTATTAAACCACAATAATACAGTCTGTTTGGATTATTTCATTGTGGTATCGTGGGTCTGACAGTAAAACTTTCATCATTAGGATAACATCAAGGATCAAGGATTTCAACATCAAGGATAACATTAGTTGACGTACGACAAATCAACTAATATCTAACGTAATAGCCATTTCCTAGTGCTAATATTCAGCTGTGTATTACTATTACATAGGACACATAAGGCTTCGCTTGTTCAAATAACCTAAAGGACTATATCACAACGATGACACATTGGACTAACAATTAGAGCAGGCATGATCGCGTAAGTTCCAATCCAACAATCTACAAATACTTGTTAGATGTAGCAGTTACTATAAAATAACTATGACAATTTGAGAAGTGTTTCTTAATCTTGCCTTTACGTATCCGAAAGAAGTTCTTTCCGTAGGTCCTCAATCCACGGACGAACTTCTTCTGGTCTTCGTCACTGAGTTTGCTTGCGGTTGCACCACCCACACTGCCGCGAGGGTTCTTCACAAGAGCCTTCAATAGAGTCGATGACAATAAAGTTAGCGCATACTCTGGTAAGTTCCCTCTTTAAAAAAATTACAGGATATTCAGTTAATACTCAATAATTAGTTCTCAATAACCACCGTGATTACGTCAACGCTGCGTTGGTAAATTCAATTTTCTGTATTTGCGTCTACTTACCTGTAGCGCTTTTCCCGTATCATACTCGCTGTCATGTAGATGGTTCAAAGCATTGATCGTTGTGTCATCTCTGTAACAATGATCGTTAGGTTAGAAATCAGACTTTGCTACGTTCTGTACTGTTATCGTTCGTTGGGAAGCTATTTTTTTTTTCAAAAATGCTGATTTGGGTTTTCCACAATCTATTTCCTAATCAAATGTCTATAGCGACGGATCAGTTGTACCATGTTTACATAATTGTACGAACTTTCTCTCGACGACAAAAACAGTGATGCACAAACCTTGATGCGGCGACGCATCCATCCTCGGCGCTACCTCCATCGCACATTCCGGCGAACGCCGCCATCGATCTTGCGGCCCGCAGGTACATAAGTAGGTCGCAGTCCGGCACCCCCGGAGCCCAACGGAGCTCTTCAGCCACCACCACACTCTGAGGACATAAAATAGGTACAAAAGTGTAAAGTCAGTAGTACGAAAAGAGAAGTGTAATAATAATAATAACAAAAAAAAATCATGAAATTGCGTCACTACGCATGCGTTGATTCGGAAGTAGCCAATAGTAATGGCGGCCTGCAAGGTAGATAATAACTTCGTATAGAAACAATTGCTAGCTTTAACTCTTAAATCCACAACATGTAAAATAAACATAAGGTAAAAAGTCAGAGTTTATCCTGCTGTCAAAGGTAGGTTAATTCAAACGTACTTTGTAGTACGCAGTAATAAGATTATGAGTTTATCGTAAGACGCAAAGTTAACGCGCTCGATTGACAGCTGCGGGATGTCTGTATTAGTTCTGACACATAAACGTCCATTTCAAATTTGATTACCTTTGTGAATGAGTCCAGTACTAACGTAATTCTGTAGACATAAACATGTATGCGACTGGTTTCAATTGATTTACCATAGAAGTCTTGCTCGTGACCCAGGCAAGGCATGGATTGCCCCGCATCGGAATTGAATAGCATGCATTAAACAATCCTGTTTGAGGATAGTGTGGTCAAATCCAGTACGTATTCTATGTTCTAATCAATGGGATAAGCGATGCAACACTGGAAGTTTCCTATGCCTTTTTCATTGTTAATTATTATTACTAATATTAAAACGATACGGGAATACCCTTTTTGTTGCCAAAATCCCACTTGCTTACATATTACCGTGTGCGCACTTCAGAAGGCCTTTCTCTCGCCATCGATATCACAATCCAGTACTAGCACTTCAAGGACATTTGTCGTCATATTCAAGGCCTCCCGGGCTTGTACTAATTTCTTTCTATTATGACCCACATGACATATCCCTGAGGTTCTATGAATCTTATCTAATCTCTCTTATTTCGAGTTTTACGTTCGGTATATCCGTTAGGAATTCTGTTAGACGGACGGCTGGCTTCTAGCACCAGGTCTGTTTCTCTGTATGTTTGTCTGTTTATGCCCGGGTTCGAATCTAGACCACAACATGTTTCTGTGGTAGCTACTGATCTTATCAAATCCAGGCATAGATACGATTCATTTCGTTCTGGGAGCCAGTCGCCTGTCTGACGGAATGCCTGACAGCTATACCGGACGTAAAACTCGAAGCTCCTAGACTCAGTGAAAACGTTTCTCATTTGTCTACATTGTACAAATATAAGTTTCAAATACCTCTGCGGTATTCATCCTACGCCTTAGAAAGCGCAAAATCCACTAAACCAGCCAATGAATACGAGCCCCTTTAAATGATTACTCATCTATAGCTTTACTGGCCATACACTTATAGATTAGGAATAGAGCTTATTAAAATTTATTGACTAGTATATTACTCTAATTTTTCATTTTTTTTTCCCAATGATAGGACCTTACCGCAAATTTCAGTCAATTAGCCAGTTGATAAAACGTTTCTATTGTCTATAAATCGACTGTTGATAATTCTTCCAAGGTTCACTCGTTTTCTCTTTTGGAATATTGGATTCGATGTTCTCCAATCGGAGCACGGTGGAGCAAATAAAATGAAAAAGTCCTCTGGAAATGGGTTTTCGCTAAACAACATAGCCATTAATTAATATAGAATAGAAGTTAATAATAGAACTTGGTAGGCTATGAATTGTGATGAACTGCTCAGAAAGTAGTTTGACTATTCAGATCCTGTCATTGGAAAGAAGACCATGAAAGGTGCGGTTTATGCTTGTACTGAATATAACAAGGACGAATTTAGCTTACGTCATCTTGCAGTTGCAAAGTCGTTCGCCCATCCTGAGGCATCTCTCCCCGATACAGCGGCAGCTGCGCCTGAAACAATTTGGGATAAAATACAAAGAAAAAAAGAACATTAAGGATTATAAGGATAAACAGAAAAAAAGACGTGTCGATCAATGAGTAAGAAGCGTTTAGGGGTCCGATCAGATATACTTCACAATTGTACTAGGGAGAATCGGCACGAGTCTCAGTCTTATCTGGTCCAAAGTGAAGGCTTCATTAGCCCTCATCATCAATAGCCATCATTTCAAGGAAAAATCTGTTCTTGTCGAGATCATTTAGAAGAAACATACGCACGTACAGATCATAAATCCTAGCAATAAATGCTACCTTACATAACATCACTAATATTTTAGTCAAAAATATATTGTGCATATTTCCATCGAACAGCGTGCATTTGGCAGAGAGATATATTATTAATAAGCTTCTTGAAGTATCCAACAAGGACTGCCTAGATCACTGAGATCGACGGCTAAAGACGGTTATCACAATAGAGTTTTCGAGTGTGGCGTAATTATTGTTTTATTTAACTTCATCTGTGCATACGGATGATTTTATTTTTTTTACTTTAATTTAATTTTACTTACGAAAGCCTAATTGGGTCACTCAGAACGCTGTCTTTGTATCTGAGCTGAGAAAACAGAACCAATTCAGCACAGGATAAACGCTTTTTGATTCAACTAATACGTTCACTCGGATATAAACTAAATGCCAAAAAACCCTAACATGAAGTTTAGCATATTAACTTACACGAACATATATTATAAAATTCTTGACCGTTTTTTTTTCCAAAAAAACGTTACCTTGTTTAATGTGTGTTTGTGACGAACTAAACGTCAGTATAGCTTGAAATATGTCAAGTAAATTCTGGTGATGTTTTCGAGTATCTCTCATGCGAAGTGTCTACGGCTTTAACTAAGTTTT